TCCATCTCTCCTCTTATTTCTCTATAATTTTTCCCTCTCTGTCGCTCTCTCTATATGTCTCTAGCTACTTTTACTTTCACTTCTTCGCTCAGTACTTCTATTCCGTTATCTTTCTCTCTTGTTTTCTCTTTATCTCTCCCATTGTTATCCCCTTCTCTCAATTACTATATTTTCTCTCGCTTTTACCTCTCTCTTTGTTATTCATTCTCTGTCGTCCTCTCTCTTTCCTTCTATCATTCTCTCTATAAAATATGTATATGTCTCTAGGTCTCACTCTATTTCTATGTGTCTGTTCATATATATATCTATCTATCTATATCTATCTCTCTCTCTTTCTCAGTCCTTTTCTCTGTCATTTTCTCGTTCCTCACTCTATGTATATGGTTCTCTTTTCTCTCATGTTCTTCCAAAGCTCGTTTATTACTTTTCCCTATATGTCTCACATTCTCTCTTTCTCACTCCAGATATCCTCTCTTTCTCACACTTTCTCTTTCTCTGTTATTTTCTCATTGATCTATTCTGCACTTTTTTCTCCCTCTTTATTACTCCGCTCTATCTATCTCACAGTCTCTCCTTATCTCTCAAAAGTCACTTTCAATCTCAACCAGTTCTCACTCTGTATGTCTCTCTTTCTTTCACTCTTTATCTCTCTCATTGCAATTATTTATACCCATTCGGAATTCAAGTGACAAACGCAACAATAGAATCAACGCCATGAGCCCTGGGGCTAGGGTATTCAACGACCCTTGGCCTTTGGGCAAATTATTGCATTGCGTGCGGAAAGTTTTGAAGCACCTGCACCCGAAACGCAGCCAACACCGGATGAATCGCTGCGGCCATATTAGCAAAGTGAATAGGTTTTTATTTGTAACGGAAATGTGCAAATTATTACCAGTTGTGTTTGTTGCTGCCCGTCCGAGTATTGTTATTGTTTTACTTGTTGTTGTTGTTGCAGTTACTATTGCTGCTGTTGCAGTTACTATTGCTGTCGAGCTATTTGCATAAGATCTCGATAAGCACACAAGAATTTTCCAGCTAATTGCGTCGCATAGAGAGCGCTTACTCCCATATCTGCTGGAAAAACGATCGCCCTGCCGGCCCAGTTCTCTATGGAAGTGGCCTTGGGTACACACATAAGCATAAACATTGCTCGGAAATGAATTGAGACGAGCATTTTATTAATTTGATATTTGTTTATGCAGTGCATGGTACGAATTAGATATAGGCTAGCGCGTAAACAGCCGAGCCGCGGCGCCGTTACTGTCTGCCAATTCTCAGGCCTATCCAGAAGCGATGAAGACACCTGAAGCTTGCGCCACAGCAAGTTGGAGACCTTGGCGCCACAGCAATGCGGAATGAGCAAAGGCCTCAACGTGCGACATCTTTTGAGCTGCTGTAAGTTTCAACATATGTGTGAACATATGTATATAGATAGATATATAGATATACATAAACAAAGCTTGATCACAAGATCCGCCAGACGCTGTGCAGGCCAAAGTTGTTCCAGGTAATTTTTTCTCGAGCTGTGGGCTGACAGATTGAAGCATTTGGAAGAGCTTGCTGCAAGTTTCAAGTAAAATCAATAAATAGAGACTTCTACATGTAAACATATAAATAGATAGATAGAAATAGATATACAAAACGTTATCTCAAGATCCGCGAGACGATCTGAAACCTAAACTCGGATATAGGCCGAAGCTCTTCCAGGTCACTTCATTTCGGCTTTGGATGTACTCGAACTGTGTGCTGAGAGATGGAAGCATTTTGAAGAGCTTGCTGCAAGTTTAAAGTAATATCAATTAATAGAGAATTCTGCATGTAAACATATAGATAGATGTACAAAGCGTTATCTCAAGCGTAAGCCAAAATTCTTCCAGGTCATTTCGTCTCGGCTCTGAATGTACTCGAGCTGTGAGCTGTGAGTTGAGTGATGGCAACAGTTGAAAGATCTTGCTGCTAGTTCCAAGTAAAATCAATTAATAAACATATACATATATAGATCTTGATCACAAAATCCTCCAGACGCTGTGTAGGCCGAAGTTTTTCCAGATCATTTCGTCTGGGCCTTGGATGTGCTCGATGTACTTAGAAGAGCTTTCTGCGAATTTCAAGTAATATGAATTATTCATGTAAACATATAAATAGATAGATAGATAGATATAGATATAGATATACAAAGCTTGATCTCAAAATTCTCTAGATGCTGTGTAGGCCAAAGTTCTTCCAGATCATGTCGTTTCGGCTTTTGATGTACTCGAGCTGTGAGCTGAGAGTTGTAACGCCTTGGTGGAGCTTTAACAATCCTGTGCTTGATATAGGTCAGCCAATAAGCATCTCCCTCTATGTATAGTGCGACTTTTTCCCTAATCATTTCATTTATGGAATTCAGTTCGAAGTGAAATTAAAACCAACAAATTGACTTTAATCGATAAACGCAAGAATAGCAACAACAACTATCGATAACGATCTGTGGAACTAGTTCATCTGGTCGACAGAAAGTGTGCATAGCGAGCAGAGCTTTGTGTTGTGTGGCATGCGGCATGCGGCATGCGGCATGTGCGTTGCGTTGCAAGTTGCAATTGGCAATCGATGCAACGGTTGACATTTGGCCTGCACTTTGAGCTGTTGATTTATGCATGTGGTGGCCAAGCGTCTTGCTCTTTTGGAATTTAATTTAATTTATATTTCATTTGCGAGATGCAGCTGAAGCGCACCGAGTGGAGTCAAATCGAGTCGACGGCGACTCGTGGCGCGATGGGGGCGGCGATGGCGATGGGGCGCGGCACGTCAAGGCGGGTCCCCGGCCAGGT